GAATACCTATGTAGTTTTTATGAGGTACCTAGGTCTGTAAGTGATCTACAATACCATGTAAAGGTTACTAAGGTATGAACTTATATGTATGTTAGGAGGGCATTTCTTTTTACTAGAATTCGATAACACAACTGTACATAGGGCTGCTTTTGGAAGGAACTTCATACGACTGCTGAGATTTCTTGTTAAACAGATTAAATCTAAATAGGTTGGTAATAATATTTTGTCCAACCCCTTATCCAATCCGAAATCTCTTACTCAACAATCTCTGTGGGTCAGCAGAAAATTAGGTTCAATTTATAATAGGTGTGGAAAATTAATTATTATGTTTTTCGGCTTACTCACGTAATTATTTGACGAAGAACTCGACTAGAGAACCTAACGGGTAACCGGGGCTCCGACTCGACGTGCAGGAGAAGGAACGGGGTGGTTTTTAGTCAGTAAGAGTCTGACACTCCCTCCCGCCTCACCCAGGCGGGAGCAGTCACTTGATTATTTTCCCCCCTTAAAAAAAAAGCCGTGCTGGAGGCTGATAGTTAGCTCATACTCTCATAGCTCAGGCATAAGCGTGAGCTAATACTCAGCCAGTAGCAGCGCGACACTCGCCGCATCGCGGGATCGCGCTCATGAATATGAGCCTCCAGCATGATTTGACACTTTTATAGTGGAGTTCCTCGTCAAATAATTACTTGAATCAGTCGAAAAACTTAATATTCAATTTAGTATGTTTTACGAAAGTTATAATAGAAATAGGTGTACGTATGTTTTAATTTTCTTCCAATCAAAGTCGTTGCCGCAACTAGTGTGCAATATTTAGATCATTCATCATCTTCAGTTTACTCTTCAATCCAAAATATTCGCTTTATTTATAATCGGAATTTTACGAAATTAGCGCGCTGAATCATCGCTGTTAGTTAAAAACAATGTAAATGTTATGCTTATGACTGGTCCAGATATTTGACGGTTATATTGAACGTCAGATGAGGTCGTAGTAATCAGTACCTATTACTCATGACATAAAAAATATTGTAGTAACTTTCCTCTATCTATGTTTATTTTTGTTACAGTCATCGTCACACACCCGCTGGGCTATTCTGTTGATCTTTGGTCGTGATTATTCTCCCAATCAATGGTGGATCGAGCTCACTTCTAGTGTTCAAATTTACTTCTTTCAGGAAAGCCTAGCTGCTACATCAGAGTCAACCAGCATCGGCGGTGTGTGAACGATCATAAATATTTTTAATATTTAGTAGAACCCCATGCTGAAGCTCTGTGCTGTACCTATCTTGGACCGCGTAACTATGGAAACAATTTTCAAAAAATAATATCTTTAACGTGAAAAGATATATGTCAGTCGCAGGAATAAATACGACTAATCATATTGTAAGTAATCCTACCAGTAAAGAGATAAGTCCATGAAAATTGACAATTTAATGAAGTTGTTGATAAGAACGCACAGCTCTATTTACGTGAATGTAGTCTGCTAGATAATTTAGTGATCCATTTTTAATCTCTTTGTTTTCTTCTGCCGGAAGTCAGCGTCATCATAAAATATCCATTAATGTCTCGTATAAGCCTTTAAAGTCAGATTTACAAGGTTTATTGAACTGAAAGACGATGTTTGTGTTGATCTGTGGTTCACTGTGATTGCGTACGAAGCTTATTGTAAATTAATAAAGTTCAATTGTTAACTACTTTCTTTATTTACTGATTGTGTGGTACATTGAGCATGATATGGTCTCCGTCCGGGTCAAACATACCTCTAGTATTTGGGTCACTTAGGGATTTCCTAATAAGGCATGTGTTTTATCCCATGGAAGCTTCCCCTTAATTCCTTGTCATTACACCCTTGACCTGCTGGGCTATTTATTATATTAGTTTACATTTAATTTTGCAATTCATTATACAGGTTTTCTATTTGAATTACTGCCAACCTTCAGGAAATAAGTCTTTTTTTATTAATGAGGCAAGCTCACCACTACCTCCCAAAACCGCTGCAACTCCTTTAAACCAGGATCTACAGTAAATACAACCATGAAAAGACCGGAATATAGAATTCCGGTGCGTTCCAGGGACGTGAACAAGTAATAAAATATTATTAGAGGAGAAGAAAATCAACTAAGGAAATGGGTCTCGTTAGTTTCGGATTTTCATCGACATATTACTGTGTTACTGCCCACCGGCTCTGATCATGAATGGTATGGTTTATTCCCAGTGGCGATGTAACCCGTGGCCCGTGGGCTGGTGATACTGACCACATGTCGTTTATTTTGTGGTCTTCTGACGCAGTTCACCGATTTGTATACAATGCGTACCTATCTACCTATAAATGTGTTGACGTGTTGACATGTCACATATTTTACCAAGTTTTATAGTTTTATCGGTTTAATAACGAATTATTTTATATTGTTATAGATGACTTCAGACTGAAATATGAATATTTGGACATTTCAGCCGAACTTTCTAACTTTTGTTACGAATCGAATGAATTCTGCGAAACTTGAAAAATTCTTTGGCAAAGTGTACTTTAATATATGCTCAGCCTGAATTTGTTCCCAGAACTGAACTGTGTATTATCCTCAAGATTACCACGAAAATCTTACCGAAAAAGGCAACAACAGAATTCTCCAAAATACTTTGCTCAAGTATTAAGTTCCTAGATGTTGTCATGCAGTGCATATAAGGCAAGAGATCAATCAAGTGTGTTCAATATATGAATGGTTGATATTCCCGATGTGTCGTGCGCGTGCGCCGCGTGGAGGCGGGGTCGCCGCGTGACGTAACGCTACGTCAGCTCGTCGACGTCACTATACTATCTATAGGTGGAATGGCGATACAAGTTACAACATTGTGTCGTCCTATCGCGTTGGGCGATATTATAATAATAGATCTAAACTTTTAGGGCACGTGGCCTTAGTACTTATTTTGTTTTTTACGTTATTTTAGAAAATAATAATAAAGTCACCCTAATAGTAAAGTCACCTACTCAACACTTTTATAGAGCACGTGATGAAGACGTCTTAACTTCGGATTTTAAACCCCACAGGAACGTAGCTAGCGCCGGCGCCGTATCTGCCGTATCTATCAATTATACGGGCCCCTGGACTACTGGGGACCCTAACGTACGTTACGTGCGTATGCAAAAATTAACAAAACCTTCTCAAGTTATGTTTTTTTCAGTAATCACAAAAGAATAAACGTTTTTTGCAACATAAGTATCTAAAGCATGCATTCAAAGATTGGCAAAAACTTTACAGAAACTGAAGTGATCGTTTGCCTATAATCTGGACAGAGGAAGTATTCCGGTTTTCACATGAATTATTAGCATTTTATTTAAAACATCTCTAGTGAAAAATATTAAATATTTAACCTTTATAAGGGTCCCCTAACAAATTTTTATACGGGGCTCCGCCAAGCTACGCTACGCCACTGATACCCAAAGGCAAAGGTTAGATTAAGGTGCAAGGTGCTTATAATATCACATTATTTTTACCAGGTCATCATTATAAGTCCCATATAATTTATGATCCTATTTGGTACTAGGTACCGAACAACCGAAAATAATCCAATAACAGTTTGATCGACCCCTTGCTCGGTAGTCGTAATTTGAAATGAAGTCTTACCCTAAATACAGAATCTCCATTTTCTTTAAAATTAAAGTTATAATTAATTCTTATTTTTAGTACTAGATGGACAACTAGCGACATCTGTTATTTACAGAACGTCTTTAGTATCGTCTTAGACCACATAGACAGTCTTAGTAACAAGGTAAATTGCTTAGTGAGAAACATTAAATATATTCAGGTTTGTATACTGCAAAAAGTAAAGAGCAAAGTTTTAACAGAAGAATTGTTTTAATAGTTAAGTTACTGAGTAAATAATTATAGTTATCATAATATCATGTCATATTATATCTAATCCTTGTTAAATACTGACGTAGTTAAAAAAGTTATAACATCTCGGAAAACCCCCATGTATACTTACCTACCTATTAATATAATTTTATCTATGACTCAGGTAACATCAACACAAGGCCAGTTTAAAGTATGCAATTTTTTTTCAAATAAATCACAAAATGTCTAATTATGGTGGCTAAGTGTTTAATTTTATTCGCTTTTTTGTGTTTGTTTTACGTCCTGGTTGTATGAATATTTAATTTTTGATAACTAATGTTATTCAAATTAATATCTGAGAGTGGAAAGTCCACATTGAGTTTATGTAACTTTTGGGTGGACGATTAAAATTCTTATATTACATATTAGTTTGTGTTTTAGTGAATTATATTAGAAGTTACCTAAAACTAATTAGGGATACCTAGTAGTGATTGCTTGTTTTGACTTCTTAGTAGAAAAGTACAAAGATGATGAACTATCTAATAATTTAAAAAGACCATAGAAAAAATCGTGCGTTTTATTCTGTGTCCATTTGCAAAGCCTAAACCAAACATAATGAGTTTCATATAGATAATTATACCTACAATAACACCCAGATTCGGAATAATAATTAGTAGATCACACAAAGTAGGTATTGTGTCGTACTGGAACAAAAGCGGCGATACGTTGAAACAGACGGAACAGTTACAAAATGCGTTTTCAAAACTGGTTGGTATTTGTAAAGAACCGGTAGGGGATTGCATATCTCTAACTAAACTAAACCACAGGTATAGTGTCATGCCTCTAAATCAAACCTAGGTCTTTATACGTACGATTGTCACTAATGATTTACGTACCTAAATCGTGTTTGTGCTTTATGAATAAGCGCCTATGTAGGTAATATTAACTCATGTCAATAAACAGCAACATTTTGCTATTACTATTTTATAAGTTTTGTTTTAGGTGGTGTGGAGCAAGGTGGAACAACAATAAAATATTCCTTAATATTTTTTCTTATTTCACAAACGTTTTTGTTTTTTACAAAACATGTTTTATTGCTGCATGAAAACTATTTAATAAAAAAAGTGACAACAAATTATATCAATGAAATGTCAAAATTTCTTTTTCATACTGGCAACTGACATTGAGTGCTTGCTTACACGTCAAACGATTTGCTGGGTTTTATTAAAAAATGTTCATTATTTATCGCTAAAAGTGATTGAATAAATAACTTGGAAGTGAAGATAATAAAAATAAAAACATTGGGAACATTTGATGTGCACACACAATTCGAAATCATTCCTTAGACGTAACAACTAATGCATTAAAATAGGCTAAGCTTATCAGAAAATGGGTAAGTGATATAAATTGTCATAAAAATGTATTTTAATAGTGTTCTACGCCTAGATAATGCAAAAACGATGTTGGTATATTGCAGGTGGTCTATTCAGTTACTTCAGAGGTTTGTTAGGGGCGCGAGAAATGAGGATTTTGATCCTTGGTTTGGACGGTGCCGGGAAGACGACGATATTGTACAAACTGCAAGTTGGGGAGGTGGTGACGACCATACCTACCATCGGCTTTAACGTAGAACAAGTCACATATAAGAACTTAAAGTTTCAAGTGTGGGATCTGGGTGGACAGACAAGTATCAGGTGAGGAAACATTGACAAATGTAGAGGTTAGGATCTGTTTAGCTATGGGTATTGTTCTAGTGTCATTCTTATTAGAACTGTATTGTAGTTGCCAGCCTTCTTTGGACAATACCACTAGAGAGTACATAGTATTCGTTAATACTGTGTAATGTATTATAATGTTATTGTTGTTATTTGCAGGCCCTACTGGCGATGTTATTATGGGAACACGGATGCAATAATATATGTAGTAGACTCTGCAGATAGAGATCGAATAGGAATATCTAAAGATGAATTGGTACACATGTTGAGGGTAAGTGCAACTTGTATGTGTTATAGTAATCAATAGCTCCACTTAAACAATACACTGACAGTTGGCCATATGTGTGTATTGTCTTTACGAAACAATTGAAACATGACTTTGAAACCTCATTGAGAGTTCTGTATAAATAGTAAGTAATACTTATATTTATGTTGTTTGTCAAATAACAAACTTGTGAGCTATCTATGTAATGAAAACTAGATTAACCATTTATTGAAACACGCCAAGTTATTGTAATGTCTTAAATCCAGGAGTTTCGTTACTAGAATATATTAAATGTATGTGTATGGTCGTAGCGTGATGTTTCATAGCCTATAGCCATGCACTATCCTACACAAAAAGAATAATTCAAATCAGACTTGTAGTTACGGAGATTAGCACATTCAAACAAACAAACAAAAAACAAACTCTTCCGCTTTATATAATAGTATAAGATGAAAAGGTATAAATTCTATGAATGGTCAGATGACTTGGCAACAAACTGCAAAATAGCCATAAAAAATAATGAAAATAATTAACAAGCAGAATGCAATAAACATCACTATTTTCTAATTAAATAATACAATAACTGCTATTTTTCTGAAACCTTGCTTTTGATTACAACTTAGGTAATTCAGGTTTAGTAACAATGTTAATTAGGTATGAAAATTATAATTCTTAGATAACTATGTCATCAACACTCACACACCCAAAGTGTAGTCGACAACATTGTGTTGGAGTTTCAATTGCCAAGAATATAAAAAGAAATTATGAAATATATGTTAATGTGATGTCATGCAATATTTGAAGTTCATTGTATTTTGACTTTATGGAGGGACATATCCCTTGAACTTATTTTGGTGTTTTTTCTCAAATTGGTCAGATAGGAAACAATAAACACTGCCTCATCTTGCTGTTGTCAATACATATTGATATGTTTTTAAATGTGTTACCATGTTTGTGCTATTTCACAAGTGATTTATAAAATAATCAGTTGAACATAGTATCGCCTCCTTTTTTTGAAGTCAGTAGAAATAAATAAAGTATTAATAATTTATCAATCAATCAGCATATTGATAGTGATTGTATACTTGTCCAATATTAATAATTACGTTATTATAGTATGTTTATAGTAATCAGAGGTTCTTTAGGTAGATATTTTATTACACAGCCTTGTGTTGATTAGTCATCCATAGTTTTGTCTTAAATTGTATTAATTAAAATTATGCCTACTATATTGTATACTGTTATAAACAGCTGAAGAGTTTGTTTATTTCTTTGAATATGCTTATCTCAGAATCTACTAGTCTGATTGAAGAAAATCTTTTTATGTTGAATAGTTCATTTATCGAGGAAGGCTATGTAGGATAGTCCATTTTTCGCACAAGGCTATAGCCTTGCTAGCTATCTAGCCTATAGGCTATAAAACATTACGCTACGATTAATAGGCGCAGAGCAGAGCAGGCGCAATGGCGCAGAAGTAGATAGTATAAGTATATATTATATAGCAGTAGATACTGCAATAAATATACAAAGCCATAATATTGTATTATGTCTTCTAACTACATAAACTTGTACAGTTTGAAAGCATTTGTAGATTATTTGTGTGATAATATGTTGTATGTGTCAGTGATTTAAAGAAAGATAAACGCATAGATCTAGATCTGATAATGTCTTCTAAAAGTAAAATTAAATTAAATAAAATGTGCTGTAGGAAGTTACATTAGAGTTATGTCTAGTTTTCCTTAACAATATCTATGTGTAATAGGTAACTTTTATCATAATATGCTATTGGCAAAAACATGTGAAGCAAGTCTGCACTGTGTGCTAGTTACGTAATAGTCTTATTAGAAATATTGATTATATTCTTATAAGTACTTTAATTTTAAGAAACTTATTAAAACAAAAGCTAAACCGATACTTTCTTTTCCTTGTGTGTTGTTATGTTACAAGCTGTCTTACTTACTTAATAAGGGGTAACTTTGTTGTTGTCAACTGGGTGGCTGTAATGTAGTGTGAGGTCTGTTTGTCCTTGTTGTAGTTTTTCCTCAATGTTAGTATCTCAGTATCTCTTACTGATAAATCAATCAGAATCAGAATTGACATCAACTAACTGAAAATTCTTTGCATATTCCAGGAGGAGGAACTAGCCAATGCAATACTAGTAGTCCTGGCGAACAAGCAGGACATGGCAGGTTGCCTGACAGTGGCAGAGGTGCACCAGGCACTAGGTCTCGACGCGCTACGTGACCGCACTTTCCAGATCTTCAAGACTTCTGCTGTTCGCGGAGAGGGACTCGACCAGGCGATGGACTGGCTCTCCAATGCACTGCAGGCTCGGAAATAACACCTATAGGATGGTGAGTAGTCTACATCTTCATAAACTATGATAGCTTTCTATGTAAGTTTTTTGTAGTTCCTGTGCGTACGGTGCGTCGCGTTCCGCGCGCGCCTCAAACAGCCATCAGACCACCACAGATGGGGCCCAGTAGGGCTGAAGCCCGATACGTAGCCGCGGAAGGCCTAAAGGGTTACCGGGGCTCTGGCTCTAAGAGCAGGAGTAGGAACGGGGTGTTTTTTAGTCAATAAGAGTCTGACACTCCCCTCTAGCCTTACCCAAGGCGGGAGAAATCATTGGATGATTTTCCCCTCAAAAAAAAAATATCTTTTGTAGTTAAGTTACACTTTTTAATTTATGATGACTTAACTATTCCTGCCTCAAATTCGTTGTAGCGATGGCGACAGGTGGATGAAACAAGTGGAGAGAAATGTAAATAGGTACTTATCATAACGCCTGTTGCTGCCATTCGTCTCTGTGGCCAGGCTCTTACATTTCCGAGACAATCAAATAATTTGACTATCTTTATGACTTTTCATTTTGTTTATTTCCAGCATATAACTGAAGAGGCCACGTGATACAAGGAGGCTTGACGTGTGCGTGCGCGATGGACAGACAAACCATAGTCACATGTAACGCCATTAGTTTTAGCATTCTACGTCGTCGCCGGTACACATTCGCACATTGGCCAGTCGGACGGAACATTATCAAGCTTTGTGGCAAATAAACCAACATTATTGGTGATGTACTCTATTATTTAGTATTATTTGAATTGGTCAAATTAGAGTTTAATTTTAAACATCAATGTACTTCAATTTATTATTACTACAAGATTCAATTCACGACTAAATGTGATTTTACTGTAACTGACAAACATGTAACATCTTAGAAATAAAACTAGTATATGAATTCAAGGAACGGTCTGTATCATCTTTATGGTGGTCGCCTAGTAACATTTTGTTTTAGTGCGACACACGTATTAAATGGTATCAACACCAATCATGCATCCAATGCAATCTGCGACTAACGCAACAAAGCATATCAAGGAAAGATACAGTCGGGTTCCGATACACACTAGGCCTCCTGCTAAATTGTAGCATTGTCTAAGCAAGCGTCCATAGTCGACCACTGTAATAGACGAAACATAATATCTAACTAATTTTACTAGTGGCTTTGCTCGCGACAGTTAGCCTATGTTCTCGTTACTTCTATCGTTAAGAAGTAACGAAACTTACTTTCGCATTTATAATATTAGTTAGAATTTCATAGTTAGAAATTCATACTCAAATGATTATATCAATGTTATTCTATGTGGCTTGTCATTACTTAATACTATACAAACATGTGTTAGTTATTTATATATGAATTTTCAACCGAGTCACAAGTAAATTGCATAATAACATGATAGATAACATGGTGACACATTAGTTTACACCTTTTGACCGCCAGAGTCATGTATAGGTGACAAATTAAAAAGGGCCCAGCACGCTGCTGTCACGACTATACGACAGACTTTAAGAGCTCTTACCCGCCGAGGCAACTACTGCAACATGGTGTCGGCGGCAACCGCTGACGCGTCGACGGCAGCAGTCGCCCTCCAGCGACACTTGCAGTTTAGCATTCTTCGATGTTGAAATTCCGACGGCTGTCGACGACGCGTCCACGGGTGCCGCCGACACACCGACGGCTGCAACTACCTCGGCCGTTGGCAATATGCTGCTCGTGACCTCTTAAACGAAAATAAATGACTGCATGGTTGGTGCGGTGGCTGGCCAACCGGCTGCCGCGCAACATGTCGCGGGTTCGATATCCGCACGGAACAACTCTTTGTGTGATCCACAAATTGTTGTTTCGGATCTGGGTGTCATGTGTATGTGAACTTGTATGTTTGTAAACGCATCCACGACACAGGAGTAAATCCTAGTGTGGGCCAACGTTTTTATATAAAAAAAAAGAAATGTGTATTTCTTTATTACCTATACTAATTTTTGTTTGTATTTATAGACCATCTTTCTTTATATTTACGTAAAATGACAAAAACTTATTCAAATTGTAAAAAAAAACGACAAGGATGAATTATTAGCTTGGCACGCACCTTAGCTTTTTTGACGTGGCGGTCAAAAGGTTAAATAAAACATTCTGTTTGAGTCTTTTATAAAAGGAAGTCTTTAGGATGCTATTATGTAGTACATTAGTGGTCATCACAAGCGCATTTACCTAAAGGGAGGCCCCAAACCTTTAACACCTTTAATCTCTGTAACACGGAAGGACTCTAATAACTATTGAAGATACTTATTTTTTTAAGTCAAGAGTGTACCCTATTAACGAACAATAGCGATTTGTTCGCGTCCAAAACATGATTGATATTGTTTTGAATGAGGGTTTTTGATTTTGTTTTAACCAGTTGGCGCTTGTGTCGCGTTCAGTTCTATTAGCCCGAGCAGCTTACCTTTCAAACGTTGACTGATATGCGAATATTCAGATGTTGGAAAACTGTAGCATATAATTTTGTCTTTGATGGGTAATATTTATATTGTAATAAATAATTGTATGTTTGAGTTTATTGTTTTCTGTAGTGTCCAAACTCCAAGCCCTCAAAGCAAGTTGCTTTCCTGACAGTGGCGACGGCGGATTCTATGTATAAACAAATTGTTTAGTAGCGGGATCGCGTACGGCGGCGGGTGTACCTATACATAAGTTATTATTAATTAATTATTACTATTAATTATTATATATTTTGTATCAGTGACGTTCACCAAGCTATAATTTATATTATTATGCGGTAAGAGAGAAAGATTGTTCCAAATACAATATCATGTATTATTAAACAGTTTTGTTTCATTTATTTATTTTTAAAATCAACGTATAATAATAACCATATCGAATAATTTCACTCATCTTTCCTTAGGACCACTGGCATTTTCATCAGATTCTGTCTTATCTGAAGCAAAAATAAAAATATGAGATCATTAAACTGGCAACACAAATAGATTAGAAATAGGTGCTGTGACTTGTTTCACGGAGAAATAGAAATACCTACTGCAGGATTGATTTCTTACGAAAATATCAATGATAAATATTAATATTTTTTATGGCATAAGCCGGTAAACGAGCAGACGGATCACCTGATCCAGACACCACAGGCGTTGCAAGTGCGTTACCGGCCTTTTGGGGATTAGGAGTTTAAGGATCGTTGGGGATTCAGGGATTGGGAAGATTGGGGAAGGGGAGGGTAATTGGGCCTCCGGTAACCTCACCCACACGACGAAACAATGCAAGCGTTGCTTCACGTCGGTTTTCTGTGAGGCCGTAATATCACTCCGGTCGAGCCGGCCCATTCGTACCGAAGCATGACTCTCCCACACTTAAAATTATCACTTGTTTGATTACATATTTCAATCTCGATCGAAATTAAACATATCTTGCTATTCGAAAGTATCCAGCAGAGAAATATTATATCAATGTATTTTTAAATGAGAGCTTGAATGAGAAAATGAAAGAAAAAAGGTTTTTAATTACCATATTCGAGAGACTTTTGATATTTGTCAATGCATTCTTGTACTAATAGTTCAACCCTCTTCTTTTCTTCATCTCTTTCTCTAATTCTCTTGTATTCTGCCTGTTCTTCCTCGACGGTGGGCCACCGTCTCTTCCTGGGGTCAATTTTGAGGCACTCTTCGCATTCCTCTAATTCTGAATCTTCAAGGGTTACGGCTGAAGGAGTGAACCCGTCACCATAAGGTATTGGTTTAGTAGACATTGGTAGGGGGCTGAGGTTAGAGGCGGCGGGTTTGCATCCTATGGAGAGTAGTGACAGCACGCCCAGGCCCACTGTCACCCCGGCAATGATTGGCAGATACTTCTTTAGGTCCGGGTTGTCTATAACATAAAATAATGAGTAGGCATGTAGAATGCTGTGCCTGTCGACGAATTATTCTTCAGAAAACGTTAATAGAAATTATGCTTTCAAGTAGGTCCCTAATCATAGTTAGTTCATAATTTGTTTGTTTATTAATGAATCTCTTTCCTAGACACCTATCGATGATGGCTCTGTGCGTCTACATCTGGCGACGGCCGCTCGCGACCTATTGTGACTGCGCGTGTACATTTCATGTTCGTACGATCATACGAAGCTCTTGCGCCGTGTGCGTGTACGTTGCATTTGCAAGCGGTACATTTGTCAAATCTGAATACACCTTGATGTATCTTCCTTGATCCACCTTATATCTAGTACCTATAAGATGGATCAAGGAAGTAACATCCTCCATTAGGCATTTTCTTGGATAGGAACTTGTCTAATGGTGAGTTAGCTATCAAGGGTATTCTATGAAATTATCAAATTCACATAACATAACATCACGCCTTATATCCCCGAAGGGGTAGACAGAGGTGCAGATTACAGCGCTTAATGCCACTGTACAATGTAACACCCACTGGGGTGAGCCTAAGGCGTTATACCTACCGGATTATCAAATTCAGCTGTCTAGTTTCTACCATTGTTATATAATTTGTCGTAGCTATGGGTCCACTACAAATATTGCTATACCGGCACCCCGCGCCACGTGGGTAATAAATAGGTAATTTGAATTAGGACAAAATATTGCCTACTAACACACGTGCACCCATTATTTCTTCTCGGCTTACATAGTTTCTCCATCTTTTCCTTAAGCTTTTCGTCTTTCTGCAACTCTGGCTCGGACTTATCTTGTTCTGATGGTTTACATTCCTCCTCCTCTTGTGGCAGTTGTTTCAATAGTATTTCACATTCGTCCTCCTCTATCTGCCACCTTCGCTTACTCGGAAGAATTTTGGGGCAAATAATTCTCTTTTTTTTCTCTTTTTTGCATACAGGCTTTTTCGATAGATTATAATAGGCGAAAGCTAGAAGGCCGGCCCCTAACACTAGCCCGCCGATGATAGGCAGGATGGAAATCCTGTCATCTCCTTCCCTCTCAGACGGCCTGCCTGAAATTGTCACTATCATCAGCATCATATCCTTTTCTCAAAAATTGTAAATTCTGTCAATTTTAGGCGAAGCAATAATACAACACAACAACTGTCTGAGCAGATAGGGAATTAGTCAAGTACAACAGTAAAAGTAAGTAATTATTGGTCGACTTCAGTTCAAATCGACAAATTCACCAATTTATTCGTTCACTTATATGTTGTAAGGCAAAGTACAATTTCCCTTCATACTGAACAAGATACATTATTTATAACGAATTCGACTTGAAAATAAATAAATATCTGGTACCTATTTTACAAAAGCGAATATAGTACATTTTTCAAACTAATATGTTTTCGTCTTCTATAGTGGCGTAGTGGACCCATGAGCTAAAGTTACCTACTTCGCGACTTTCAATTAATTGTATTGGTTCTATCCTAACGGCATGGCTGGCTTATCTCTCGAATAGTCATAAGTAAATAATTTTATAGAAGAACTTGTAAAAAAATATACTAAACTTGAACGTTTGTTTTCCTAAATGCCTTTGACTTTCAAGACTTACCGCTCATAGTCTTCTGGAAACTGTCGAGTTAGTTTTATGATGGTCTGTTCTCTTGATCTATTCGGATGGTTAGGTCTTGTTACATATCAATTGCGACTGTGTGTGTTCCTTACTATGTGATAGCATACTTCGGAGCTATATGTGCCATCATTTATATTTTAAAGCTCATAAAATCAAATAATTTTACTGACAAAATATTATTTAGATTGTCTCTGACTCTCAAATTGTCTTAGTTGACCAAATAACACGAAAGAGGATACCAGTAAGAGAAGGTAGTTAAAGAATAAGACACACATTATGACTTGGTGGTGGAAGGTGGAATTGCTTGTGCTGCCAAATTGTCTTATTATTTCTTGCATGATTCGACTAGGAAGAAGTTGCAGAACGATGTTTAGTTTCAGTTATTTCTATTATCCTTCTTCTACTTCTATTAGAGGATGCTCCTCTAATTATATTCAACGAGGTTTTCATCAACGGCGACAAGGTAGTCTGGAGCTGGCGGCGCCTTAAGAATGGCCGGCCAGGAACCTGGGATAGTACGTAGCATGATAAAACTAAAGAAATTATATTATAGTATCTACACTGACTGCACCTTCGTGTCTGTGTATTAGGATAGTGACCAAAAAAGAAACAGATACAAAACACAGAATAGTAAACAGAAAAAGTCTGATTGGTTGTATAAATATAATTTGTTCTCTTCGTGTGGCCCCGGATTAGAGACGGAATTGGAAAGGGGTGGTATTTAGTCAGTAAAGACTAGAGTTGGACTCTGTCGGCGGCTCAACCGGAGTGGTAAAATCACAACATCACAGAAGGCCGACGTAAATCAGGATATCAGTAAGTAGGTAAAGTTACCGGAGCAGCTCGCCCACCCTCAAAGGGACAGCATGGTCTATGGGCAACGTTCGTCGTCGCTTGCTTACCATAGGTGATGTGTCTGCTCATTTGCTTATCCAAGATTCTGAAAAAGCATGCTTTAGTTCCTGGTAAAGGTGATTTCAAAGGTACATACGGATTGCCTTCCCCACGAGCAAGTAGGCTGCAGTCCATATCGTTATCATAAGTATGGAGTACACTGAGATAGCTTGTATCAAGTAAAAAATCATTGTTAATCAATGGTAGTCGAGTCGTCCGAAAAATATTTTTTTGCTAATCCTAAAAAATGTTGAGGGATCAGGTTTTAAAAAAAGTATAATATAGTTGTGTGTTTTGTCTATTAGATCAGATGACGTTCTCAGCAAAAGTTTTACCTATTCTCGTTGGTTTCTCTTCGAACGACCAAAATAAAATGGCATGTCTGTTACGATGCGACGGTACTGAATCTCCTAAACTGTGTACAACACTAACTTCCAGGCAGTGGGTTTGTTTGATTGTTGAGTTGTTCCCTATCTGTGAATTTTCTACATATGTTCTAACATCTCCTATCAGTACCTACTTTAAATATATTAGAAATTTGTACTTGCCTCTTGTTTTTCTGTTACTTAAACATAATTACAAGAACTTTGATCATGAATATTGACACCAACGTGTAATTATTTTGGGAATTGAAATTGATCCATAGTTTCCCAGGCCTGAAAGAATAAGTCAATAGATTCCCTCAATTATTCTGACAAAAGGACGCCGCCGTTGCCAAGGGAATGATTTACTGATTGGCCTCTGCATTGAGTCTATCATAGACTGCCTCTGGCTTTGCAAAGCGTTCCGTATTTAAGTTTATAAGTTTTTGTAATCCGTAGCTAAAGATAGTTGCAAGCATTTTTATGTTGGGGAATCTTTTTAGACTTTTAACTATTTAGATAATTCTTGTTATTTATTACTAACTCATTAATTAATTGTTAATAACTCATTAAAAACTTGTTTTTGACTTCTCGTTTTGACAATGACAAGCAGCAATGTCAGAAACACGATGAAAACAAGTTGTTTGAAACAAAAAGTAATAGATTACTCTTGCTATGAGCCGGTCAGGAAAACTGCGAGTCTCGCTGCCACCAGCAGCGGCTCTGTCATCACCAGTAGTTCCGCCACCAGCTGCTCTACCACCAACAGCACCACCTTCAGCATCACCACGGGGACCGCCGCCTCCACGGCTGCTACCAACAGCCCTACCATCACCTGCTGGGCCGCCTTAGGTGCAGGAATGTTGACTCTCTTTTACAAACTGTATTCTGGGATTACTGAGGGAATAAACCCCAACAGAATGAAGGCAGAACGGGAAAGAATAGCTAAAGAAGAAGAAGAAAGAAAGAAGTTGTTGGCAGAGGAAAAAGTAACCATTTGTGGTTGGTCATATCAAGAAAGTATCTACGAATGATGATGCTGGGCCTCCGGCTCGAAGAGCGGATGTATGAACGGGGTGGTTAATAGTCAGTAAGAGTGACATACCCTCTCGCCTCACCCAAGGTGGGAGAAGTCAGTGGATGACAAATCAATCCCCCCAAAGCAAGGTTTTGTTATCAAAATATGTCACAGAAAATCTTTAATCAGTGAACTGAAATGACGTCTGATTGTTACCATATATTTTTGAATCCTTTATGTAGACAAGCTGTTTTGATTTTAGTGTTTATATTTATTTTTATACTATTTATATGAAATGTGCTTATGTATCGCACGCAGCACCTATATGTGTTACTTTATAGTACTTATAGCTACTTAATACGAATTGGTGGTGCCTGAGCCCCGGCTACCGTTTAGTTTTACCTAGTGGATACTTTGTCATGTAATTATATTAATATAGCTATATGTTCAAGTTTAAGGTCTTTATTGCAATTTCCCACAATATATACACATATCTAGCATAATTTCGAGCATCGCAACAGGCACATGTTGTTCCTAACATCTTAGGTTTCCTATATACCTACCTTATAACATTACACTGAAAAACAACTTTGTTTGTCTGTATGAACGCGATATACGCAAATTAAACACAACGGCTTGCAGTGCAGGACGAATTTTTGTCTGAACTGTGTGAACCTACCTATCGTAAACAAAACTATGACTGTTTAAAAACTTACCTTTATACATTTCACCTTATTAGCGTGGTCCTCTTCTCATTTTGACATTACAACACTTGATAGGACGTCAAATTACAAAGTAGCAATGTCGGAAACGCAAGGAAAACAAGTTATTTGCAACAAAAAGTAATAGATTACACATACGATGAGCGAACCAAAAAAACTGCCTGCCTCGACGCCACCAGCAGCGCCGTCACTCACAGTACAAGCACCGTCACTCACAGTACAAGCACCGTCACCCGCAGTACAACCACCACATGCTACTGGGACGTTCTCATCGCCACCAGGAGCGCCGTCACCTACAGTAAAATCATCACATTCTGCTGGGACGTCCACAACTTTACTAGCAGCGCCGTCACCCATAATACAACTACCATATGTCACTAGGACGTTCTCAGCGCCACCACCAGCGCCGTCACCTGAAGTAAAACCATCAAGTGCTACTGGGACGTCCTCAACACTACTATTACCGCCGTCACCCGCAATACAACCACCACATGCTACTGGAACGTTCTCAACGCCACTAGCGGCGCCGTCACCCACAGTAAAATTATCACATTCTGCTGGAACGTCCACAACTTTACTAGCAGCGCCGTCACCCGTAATACAACTACCATATGTTACTAGGACGTTCTCAACGCCACCGCCAGCGTCGTCACCTGAAGTAAAACCATCACATGCTGCTGGGACGTCCTTAGCGCTACTAGCAGCGCCACCCGCAGTACAAGTGCCGTCAACCGCAGTAAAAGCGCCGTCACCCGCAGTACACGTGCCATCACCCACTGTACAAGTGCCGTCACCAGCAGTACAAGCGCCGTCACCCGCAGTACACGCGACGTCAGCCGCAGTACACGCGTCGTCACCCACAGTACAAGTACCATCACCAGCAGTACAAGCGCCTTCACCCGCAGTACATGCGCCGTCATCTGCAGTACACGCGCCGTCTGCCACTGTACAAGTGCCGTCACCAGCAGTACAAGTGCCGTCACCAGCAGTACAAGTGCCGTCATCAGCAGTACAAGTGCCGTCACCAGCAGTACACGCGACGTCAGCCGCAGTACATGCGTCGTCACCCACATTACAGGTGCCATCACCAGCAGTACAAGCGCCGTCACCCGCAGTACATGCGCCGTCATCTGCAATACACGCGCCGTCTCCCACTGTACAAGTGCCGTCACCAGCAGTACAAGTGCCGTCACCAGCAGTACACGCGCCGGTACCCGCAGTACACGCGCCGCCATCTGCAGTACACGCACCGTCTCCCACTGTACAAGTGCCGTCACCAGCAGTACAAGTGCCGTCACCAGCAGTACAAGCGCCGTCACCCGCAGTACACGCGCCCTCTCCCACTGTACAAGTGCCGTCACCAGCAGTACAAGCGCCGTCACCCGCAGTACAAGTGCCGTCACCCGCAGTACAAGTGCCGTCACCAGCAGTACAAGCGCCGTCACCCGCAGTACAAGTGCCGTCATCCGCAGTAAAAGCACTGTCACCCGCAGTGCAAGCGCCGTTACCCGCAGTACACCCGCCGTCACCCGCAGTACAAGCGCCATCACCCACAATACAACTATCACATGGTACTGGGACGTTCTCAACGCCACCAGCAGTGCCGTCACCTGCAGTAAAGCAATCACATGCTGCTGGGACGTCCGCAAAACCTCCAGCACCCTTGCTAGCACGCGTTACTCAAACAACCGTTACCCCAGCAGCCACTCCCAGAAGCTTCAGGAGCAGTTGCCCTGCTGGTGATGTTCCCTTCTATACTGGTACGTAATTCTTTGATCAGCTTTTATTATCATATATATCTGCACGGTTGGTGCAGTGGCTGGGCAATTGGCTGGGACGCAACATGCTCGATTCTCGCATGGAGTAATTCTATGTGACTATCTGCAAATTGTAGTTTTAGGTATGGATCTGGTGAATATGTAAATTTATTTGTAAACGCACCCTCCGGCGCGGAACAAAATCCTATTGCGGAGCAATTTTTTTTTTGTTCGAACATTAAAGAAATAATAATAATTTGGATTGCAGTCATTGCAGGAATGGTGGGTCTCTTTATACGAGCCGTATACCGAGACTATCGAGGGTATCAACGCGAAACAGGAAAGAATAATTAGAGAAGAGGAGAATAAACCGTTATTAGCAGATGAAAAGGGGAAGGAAAAGTCTCAGGAAGTCGTTGGCTTACGAACCAGAAATTTGCTGTTTTGAATCAGGCATGCTATTTTAATATTTTTCTAAATTTCTATTTAATATTGTATTTATCGTTTTAGACGAGTGTTCCTTTATAGTAGTAAAAGTATATATTCAAACTTTCGTGAAATATACTAAGTTAATTATTGTTTTCGGCTAACTCACGTAACTGTTTGACGAGGAACTCGACTAGTTTTTTACTAGTTTCTCGACTCGAATAGCAGCGCGACAGTCGCTGCGTCGCGTATAACAAATGCTGCCCATAGGTATGAGCCTCTAGCATGGCTTGAAACTAGTTGAGTTTCTCGTCAAACAGTTACGTGAATAAGCCGAAAACATAATAATGAATATAGCAACAGTATTTGCTTTAATAGTGGGGCCCGAGCCACAACTGCCGTTTACGTACCTTGTACCTCCTTACGTACGAATAAATATGAATATACGAGTAGCTGAATGTCAAGTGTTTTAACATTATTGAATGAGAAGTGATTCTGTGATGAATTTACACACACAAACTTTTCTTGATTATGCCCATGCCCATCTGAATTCAAGACAATCCCCAGGAGTTGTACGTTGTGAGAACCAAGTAAAATGGTAGCATGCTATGATAGGAACCTGCTGCTGCAATCTTTGACAGTGGCAAATGGAATGTCGGCTATACATTCTGCTCGCGATCGACCTGACAAAATAACCGCAATATCTAAGAGTACCTGTCTATTTGACGAGGGACTAGCGCTGCGGTCCCTTGTTTTGATTGTAACATTTCGCCCTTACATAACCACATCGTTACGTGGCTAGGCTCAGGCTGGCATTTGCGCAAACTGTGAATTCAGGACTATGTAATTACGACAACTTAACATTGGAACATTGTAGGTTGCGGTTTTGGCCAACAGATGAACATAATGTATGTACAAAATATAAAACAAATTATGAACAAGTAATTTATATAAGTCAGCCTGCATACAGTTACACTAAGTAAGGCTACGTTGACGCCTACGCTGCCAGCAATTACTTTAATTGGTGCCTCATATTTTTGAGATGAATCGCGGGCCGATTCCACTGCTTTGAAAATTAAATTCCTAACATTCCCAAAGAAATATGGGCAATTTGCGTGTAATGTTTGTAGAGCGTTTTCTTTCGGCGTCATGTTTAGCTAGCTGTTCACGTGGTAAATCAAAATACGCAGGTTAAAACAAACCCAGTCAATGTGGTAGTAAGTGCAATGATTGTGACGGTCCTGTAAGCAGGTGCATTCTACAAGCTGTGCTACAAATTCGGCCTTATGCCGCCCCAATACGGTGCACCAGCCGCCAAGTTTGGACAAATATGTAGGGAACCCTGTACGGCATGTCTTGTACGAAATAGCAGAGGTATTCCAACTCAACATCGAATGATATTAAACACCCGAACTGTTTGTGCCATTTTAGACCTTGTGTGCCAGAGTTATGGTAACTTTTGATATGTGTTGTTTAAAGTTTGGGACAGAAGTGTGCGGGCGGGGGAGGAGTATGCGGTCTGACTGGTTGCTCGAACGACGACCGGAGGCTGCGCGCGCGCCGGCCGCAGGTACAATCCTGTGCTTAATTTTATAATTAAAGCCCACGTGGTCGCTCAAGATTATATCTTGACGCGAAAATATGCACTTTAACATCTGTGTTATCTCTCACCTGGGTGTTTTCTCGCCTTTTCCTACAACAAAAATATCGGTCAGTTTTGTCGAAAGCACTGCACGTACTTACGTACTTATACACCCGAATTGTTATTGTCTTCGTTTTATGTTCGCAGTTTTCGTTCCACGTTTGTTTCGTTACGGTTTCTCACGTTTCGTATTGTTACAGGTGGTTATGGAGCTCAACTTAATGATGTAAATATTATGTGATTGTTATTTCAGTTACCTTTAGGGAAAAAAATTTAAGTAACACCCATACAATCGTAAGTTTTAAAAGTTTAATTTAGGTCAATAATGAACTCTAAATCATTGAACCACTTTATGCAGGAAAGTTTGAGTAGAGTTAGAAAAAGCTGTGAAGGGCGAGCGCGCGGCCGGTGTGCCCGACTGTACAGGGCCAAGCTCTGGCACGAGTCTTGTAAAGAATTTATAGGAGAGCCGGGCGCGGGTCGCGGCAGTGTCGTGCGCGCCTCGCATGCGCCTGCGCAGCCCGCCGCCGCCCGACCAGCGCGCCATCGCAGCGTACGCCGGGAAAAGTAAAAGTTTTCAGTGCAGTGCAGTGCAGTGGTAGTGAAACAGACGTGAGCACTGGAATGGATGGCTAGGTATGCTCTATCTTATTTAGAGGAAAAAATACTCCCACGGTGCTGGGAAACTACCCATTGTGGAGCGAGCAGCGAAAGTTCGCTTCATGTTTATAGACCGCTAGGGCCTTGGGACTACGTAGATACATACGTCTAGTATATTGTGCATAGGTTTACTTATAACAAGTTAATTCTGCAACGTGCTGCCTGTGTCGAGCCAGTGGCGGGCTGCGCGCGCCGACCGGTTACTGCTGTACCGTATATTACTGAATTGATGATTACTTGTAAATAATTAACTATTTATAAGGAATGACGTAGTTCTTCGATTAATCGAAATATCAATGACGGGAGAAATTTTAATTAACTTCTGGTATAAGATAAATAGCAGGGAGTAAAATTATAAAAGTGAATTATTATGTACTAAGAATAAACATACGCATTTGAGTTGTATCGGTAGAGTAGCGCCACTCCATCAAATAGGCGTTTTTATACCGTCTATAATGTCAAGAGACTAAAATGTCGATAACGTCATTAATAAACAATAAATCATGTTTACAACAGGTAATAAAATCACCATACTGACTCCGCTGTCTAGTAGATAAACATTTACGAAATCATCTTATGTTAGTCTTAGCTTTTGTAAGCATTTGTGCATGGAGGCCCTGTATTATAGATTAAAAGACAAAGCTATTCTTTTTCAACTTATCTTTCTTAATACAAGTCCTGTTCAGAAAGGCATTAATATTTATTATTGGAAATACCTATCAGTACATATTAATATCTGCAAGCCGATTTAAACCTGACAGTGATTGGGTTGTGACTTTGTGACTGAACAGCAAATCAAACCCCATTAAGTAGTATTCCTCTAGGGGATAATTGTTGCAATTATTCGAAATCAGTGGACTGTTCTTGGAAAGTCCAAAATTCGTCCAATATCCACCACTGAACGAAATGATAATAAGTAGTCATTGAGACTTTAGAAGGTTATGCCCTATCTAGCAAGTGGGCCTTACACCTTTAGGAAACTTATTAGGAAAAGTTTCACCTGTCCGTCAGTGCGTACCATTCTCTTATTCTATTAAGTCCCTATGAAACATCAGACGATGATATCAACTTATGCACCTATTATGTAAGGAATACATAAAGCATAAGTTGCCATTTGGGTATCATAAGAATTGCCTTTACGTGATTAAATATCCTATTTACATTAAAAATATAGATAAATTAATTTATAGGTGATTCTGCACAATAAACTTTTTGGAAATAAAATTACCAAGCAGGGAGACACTGTTAACAAGTCCGGAAATCGTAAGGACTCAACGTTCTTTCAATTTACATACAATAAGTAAAGGTTAATGAAAGCACAGGAAATATTTCGGGTTTAATTATGAAGTTCATTCATATGTATGTAGTTTTCTTGTAAGTAACGATTTTCTTGTCTGACACTTCCTCCCGCCTCACCAAGGCGGGAGCAGTCATTCGATGATTTTCCCCCCTTAAAAAAATACCTATCTGTAGACTTCCTTATTGTGGAGACAGAATTTTGATACTGAACTCCATTTTTTTATATATTTGATGGGGCCACGTTTGACCACTATCTCGCCTGGTGGTAATCAATGATGCGGTCTACGATGGAGCACGTCTTCCTATAAGCAACCTATTCACTCGGGCCTTGAAGACTCCCAGATAAGATATAAAATGCGAGTCGCGGGAGGGTGCTCGAACCACCCATCTTTAGATACAAAAATCATACCAAACACTCACTTCTTTGTGAGCCATACAAACAAATACTTTTGCATCTATAAATTGCATCTAGTAAGGTTACGTTTGTGGCTAGCTATATTTTTGACATCAAAGTCAAAGCATTTATTTCAATTAAACCATAATTTGGTACTTTCAATATAAAATGAATAATAATTTGTCAGTTTCTTGCCAGTGAAGCTAGGTGCCAAAATGTAGATTCCAGTGGAGAAAAATGAGCAAGACATTTCTAAGTGTGGTACCTATCTATTAGCAGAAATAATGGGTGCAAGATGACAGTCGACTCGTATCTTATTAGTCACTATGTCATTAGCAGCTTGTTCTAGGCAGTTTTATTACCTAGGTAGTGTATTCACGCGGGAATGTGAAAAATAATAGGGATGTTGGAATATGTTAGATTATTACCTAAGTATATAGCTACATAATTTTGCAAAAAATTTCAAATAAAATTCTTAGATCAATGTGAAATTACTTTTGATTGTTGATAGTTTAAATTAAAGAGATGGAATCAACCTCAATGTTTCTTTTTGAATAACATTAGCGACGGAATCAGAAAATGAATTCTCAATAACCAATTACCATTAGGATTAAGATGTTTTTGTGTAGTACATACCTATGTACTACACCTGAAGGTATCCTACACATAGTTGTAGGATTTTAAAACATTCATCGAACACAGTTCCAAAACTGTTTCCACTCTTTAATAATTGACTTTACTGGTCAGCACATCCTTATTGTTGACGCCATTTAATCGCGGGGAACATGACCCTGTCATCGCCCAGGAGTGGAGGATCTATTAGTACGCCGGCGCCTGTTTCCGTTTAATATTGACGGTCATCTGTGTAACCAGCGGTTTGTGGAATAACAAGGTTCGTTTAATTGATAGTTAAGTGCCTCGTACGAAGTTGGGGTGTCTAATTAGTATTAATTACTTACTTCTAGTTAGTTCCTGGTCGTCGTAGAGGAGTAAGAATTATGCTATTTGCGGGACAAGGAGATATTTTTAACCGCCTTCATTTACCCAG